TAGCATGCTAGCTGCTAAGCTCTGCTGTGACTAATTGGGATGTTTGGAATAAATGAGGCAAGTGAGGAATAACTTTGGACCACTACAAACTGTTTTTATGATAGATAAACTTTTCTTCTATCTTGATAAAACCACAGCGTTGGAAAACACGCGTTCATACTGTGTGGACTCACCTCTCCGCAGATCTGAATTCTTATAATCATCAAAGTTCCAATGACCTCAACTGAAAATAAACAGAAGAAGACCATATGGAACTGATTCACTTTTAATATTTACTGCTATTTCCTCACACGCCTTTATATGAATGAGCTTGTATCTGACATACGGATGATCTCGTGAACATATGAACGTTACTTGGAATTTCTTGGAATGTTTTGATAGTAATACAAAAATATTATTTGAGGAATTTCTGTCATAAATTTGAAAACATTGACCCTATAATGACCTGACAAGAAATCACATGACCAAACCGAGTATACTTCTGCTTAAGATGTAAATCACTACCATTTGGAATCAATTAAGACTAGTCCCGCCCCCGCTGCTCGTAACCGGCGTCTGATTGGTTGTAACTTGAGGGGAAAGTGCTGTGATTGGCTGGTCTCAGGTGTTTGAATTCCTTCTGGTGTGGTACTCAGACATAGTTGAGTGCTGACGTAAGGAACTTGAGATTTACATTGTGAAGGTGGTGTGTTCAAACGCCTAAAACCTGCCACTGGTTTCATGTGAGGAACACAGGCCCACCCACAGATGTTTACATGAACCCTATGGAACATTTAGATTGTACATTTCACAAACTTGACTGCACCGTGTCCCCAGATAATGAGCTAATAAGACTTCATCAAATATAGTTTTGACTGATAACAACTGTAATGCTGATTTTTCTTAATTCCAATAACACTGGATGTCCACGTTGTTTATGTTTCCATTTTGTGTTTTGGTTCTCAAGACGATGATCCAGTCAGAAAGCAGAATGACACTCACATGAGTCTCTCGGGTGTTATTAGTTTCAGTATCAAAATATAGTTGGTGTAAACCTAAAAGAACTCTGATGTGAATGGTGACTCCCTAAACCCCAGCACCTGTACTCATGAGTCAGTGCTAGTGCAGCCTCTGCAGCTGAGGGAGGGAATTCTGGAGCTTCTGAGCTTCATGAGACATGACCTGACCGTAAACTGAAGATAAGAAAAAAGTATCTGTCCTATATCTGTCTGCAGGTTTAGGTACTGGCAACCCAGGTTCAGTTGTGATTATAATACCATCCATTCATTTTCTTCCGCTTATCTGGGGCTGGGTCATGGGGGCAGCAGTCTAAGCAGGGACTCCAAAGCTTTCTTCACCCCAGACACGTCCTCCAGCTCCTCCGGGAGGATCCTGAGGTGTTCCCAGGCCAGCCCAGAGACATAGTCCCTCCAGTGTGTCCTGGGTCTTTTTCGGGGCCTCCTCCCGGTGGGACACGCCCAGGAGGCATCCAGAACAGATGCCCGAGCCACCTCAACTGCTTCTCTGGATGTGGAGGAGCAGCGGCTCTACTCCGACCTCCTCCTGTGTGACTGAGCTCCTCACCCTATCTCTAAGGGAGCAATCAACCACCCTGCGAAGGAAACTCATTTCGAGCGCTTATATTTAATACCTTCAAGTCTAAAACCCTTTAAAGGCAGACTATATGTCACTTTTCTATGTTTTTATTTTCTTGCCTGGAATATTTCTCAATATAATATTAAACTATTATATCACCATGGAGATGAGCAGGTGACTTATAGTAAGAATGTGTGTTTTTCGATGTGATATTTTAGCAATAAAAACACTTTAAATTGAATAAATGCAACACATTATTTTAAAGTGTCCATATAACACTGTTTTCTGATCTGTGCTCTAATGTTTCATCATCAAAAAAAACACTTGGAGTTGTATTTTGTTTCATTCACACATGTTTAACACACAAACTCTGCACATTTAGGCTGAGTTCTTCGCCCAAACAGAAAACACTTCCACCTTGTGATGTCATGTGGTGATACAGGAAGTGCTCCACCGTGTTTTCAAACTCCACACACCTTCACTAGAATCATTTGGATCATTTCAGCCCTGGAATTGCCAATCTCTACTGAACTAAAGGTAAAAATGCAGCTGTCAACTTGAAATCTACCACTTCATGACATCACAAGGTGGAACAGAGCATTTTGAGCTTCGGAGGTATAGACAGAGTAATAATGCAGGATTAGTCAAACATGTGTGAATGAAACAAAACACAACTCCAGGTCTGTTTTTGAGGAGGTAACAACATTATAACATGTCTTAAAGCTCACAAGAGTCCCTTTAAACATATATTCTGTCTGCGTCTATATTTAGCTGTTGCTGTCTTATAATTATAATTAGCTCTTTGCCATCAGGGCTCATTTTAGTTTGCAGTGATCTGTGCTTGGTGATCTGCATTTAAGTGTTTAAGTCTTGTGTTTACTTGAGTGTCTTCGGGGCTGCTTCATTGATAAACAGTGGCTTTTTCTGGCTCTAATGTGGTTAATGCTAATGTCATCTCACCACACAAACTTCTGTCAGTCCCGGTTTGTCCTCGGGGAGTGTTCAGGCGTAATTGGAGATTTGAGTTACTGGGAAATTCCCCAGTTTAACACGGCAGACACTTGAACTGCTCATGGTTGTGTTAACCCATAATCAAGGCTAATCATTTTCTGTCAGAACTTTTTTATAGTTTTGGAAATTTTGATTAAAGATTGTTTAGAGAAGAGAAGATGTGGAAAAAGTCTGAAATAGTTTCCTGGTATCTTCTAAAGAGAATATTTTCTGTAATCTTGATGTTTATAATCATTTAGAATTGTTTATTTGTTAGCTTAAATTAGCTTCTAATGCTAAGGAATTTGACAACAAACTTAGTGGCTCAAGTGGATTTTGGATTGAAGTCACGTGCAGTTTTTTCCAACATCTATTGTTACTGAAGTGGTTTAGTAAAGCCCACAGTAGCATCGTGTGTTGACTGTTTGCCCACTAACAGGATGGTAACTGGTTTACACTTCACAATCTCTTGCACTTACTCCAAAAAAATGAAAAAAATGTTTAACACTTTGAAATTCTCCCATATATTTACTCATTAGCAACTTGATAATAAATAAAACATAAATCACACTTATTTAGAACCAACTTTTCAAGACATTTCTGGAGGAGTCGTTTACTCCGAAGAAAATGAAATGATAGACTAATACCCTTTTGTCACTGAAAATAGAAAGTAAAAAGATTTAGTTATTTTAAATTTTAATTTAACCCAAATACCTAGTGCCTCCACTCAGTTTCATTTCTCTCCAGTGACTAGGTCAGGAATCAGAATAGACTACACGGTTCGCAAAAACCCTGGAAGTGTGAGTTCGGGCACCAGCCAATCAGAGAAGAGCCAGATATTCTGTGTTGGCAACGATTCCTGAGATCGAGGATTTAAAGCCGAAACAAAGACAATGTTTGGTGAATTTTATTAAGGGGAAAAACGTTATTGTTCTTCCTCCTACAGGATTTGGGAAAAGCTTAATATACCAGTTAACCCCGTTAGCAGAGCATTACATACATGACAACCAGTGTTGGGAAGGTGACTTTTAAAATGTATTCCCCTACAGATTACAGATTACATACCCCAAAATGTAGTTTGTAATGGAATCCATTAAATTACTTAAAGTGAGTAACATAATCTGAATACTTTGGATTACTTGATTTGCTGTAGAGAAACAAAGATGAGGAATTCTTCACATAAGATGTTTTGTCTGATAAAAGACAATAAAAAGCCCAGACTTTACTTAACCAAATGAAAAATATTATTGATAGAAGAAGAGGAGAAGACAAGGTCCACGTGGCATGGTTTAGTCCTGTTAAATCCTGTTTTAGGTCTGTTTTAGACCTGGTTTTAGACCTGGTTTAGCCCTGGCTTAGACTTGGTTTTAGTCCTGGTTTAGACCTGGTTTAGTCCTGGTTTAGACCTGGTTTAGTCCTGGTTTAGACTTGCTTTTAGTCCTGGTTTAGACCTGGTTTAGTCCTGGTTTAGACTTGGTTTTAGTCCTGGTTTAGACCTGGTTTAGTCCTGGTTTAGACCTGGTTTAGTCCTGGTTTAGACTTGCTTTTAGTCCTGGTTTAGACCTGGTTTTAGTCCTGGTTTAGTCCTGGTTTAGACTTGCTTTTAGTCCTGGTTTAGTCCTGGTTTAGACTTGGTTTTAGATCTGATTTAGTGTCCGGCAATGAGTGGATCGTCTGATGAATCAGGCTAATACTTTTCAGCCAACACTAAAATTTCAAACTTAATTTGGAAGGAAGAGACTCCATCCTGATTGTGATACCACAATGATGATTAAAACATTCTTTATTTAGACAATAGACTGTGATTTTCAACATTAAATCATAGTACCTTGTTTTATATGACCACGCGCTCATCCCTGTGGCTTCCATAGTCTATGTGCTCTTAAACTTGTTCTGACACACCTCAAGATCATTCTAAAACTCTTCACCAAAGGTTCATTTCTGTCCTGTGAATGTGACTTTTTTAGCATCAATACCTGCTCAAATGAATATCTAGTTTCGATAGTAGTTTTAGTATCGATTAGTGTCTGATTTTTGACCACCCTACTTTAAATACCTACTGTCTCTGTACAATGACAATGACGCTACAATGACTCTTTATGGGTGCTTTTGAGGAGGCCACGATGGACGAGTGCGACTGAGATGTTTGTTACTACACGAGTGAACACTCTGCAAGCTGCACTAAGAATCTTAATGTACAGTTTTATCTGCAGACTGAACAAATCAGACAGTGAAATAATAAAGTCATTCACAAATATGAGATTCAGTGCAATAAGATCAGTCCAACAAAACAGACATTAGTGTGGTTGTCTTTTAAAATCATAAATGTTTGTTGTTTTGTCTTGTCACTGTCCTTGTCTGATTTAAAAATGGACCATGAGTCTGGAATAAAAATGATGATGATGTATTCACGCAGTCTCCTCTCCTCTCCACAGACGTACATTGGCTCCATCCTGGCTGCGGTGAACCCGTACCAGAGCCTGCCGGGCCTGTACGACCGCGCCGCCGTGGACCGCTACAGCGCCCATCACCTGGGAGACATCAGCCCCCACATCTACGCCATCGCCAACGAGTGCTACCGAGCGCTGTGGAGGAGGCCCCTCAATCAGTGTGTGCTCATCAGGTCAGAGTCTACCATATTTTACGCTACGGGTTACAATGGTGCCAGGAATCAAACAGATATCATACTTCTTCAATGTGGAGAAGGTTTCAACTGTGGTGTTTTTGCAATCACGTTTTGGATCCCAACCAGAATTCCAGTCTCAAAGGAGGAGTTTTAGACTTACCGTATTTTCCGCAGTATAGGGCACGCTCTTAAGCCTCCAACTCCATCAAAAACGACTGCGCGTCCCGCAATCCAGAGCGCCCTATACACAAATCCACTCGGGTGACCCAGCACGACTTCAGTAAACTACAAAGCCACACCACCCACAGAACATGCAAACACACACGGAGCAGACAGCGACCGCACAGAGAAAAACACCCACAGACTCACTCATCACTCCACACCGATGAGGAACGGAATGGAGGAGCGAACTGAAAAAGCGAGTGCAATGTGCCACTTCTAGACACAACTGAACAACTGAGTCACTGCGAACACGCCGACAATCCGTTGGTCCCAGACACACCCTCCCTACACGCCACAACTGAACAAAGCCCAGAGTCACCGTGAACGAACAAACAAACAAAACCACTCACCCACCCAACTGTTGTGTTTCCTTTAATGCGCCTCATAGTCCGGTGCAGTTTATTTGTGAAAAAAGTTTGAAAATAGACCATTCAATGACGCCTTACAATCCAGCACGCCCTATAGTGCAGAAAATACGGTAACTTTTTGGAGCTTTACATTATAACGTGAAGCACAGAGCATAAAGTATAGAGAAGGTTTCAGTGGTGGTCATCTGGACACTGTTTTTGTTATCACTTTTCAGCTCCCATCTAGAAGCCATTTTCAGTTGATGTTACTGGATTGAGATACTAGGCTTAATTTTCTGAGGTACTAAGTCCAGCCCCAAAGGGAGGAGTTTTATACTTAACTTTTTGGAGCTTTCTACCATGTTGTAATGATATTCCCTCTTCAGAAACATTCCTGAAGAGTTTTTATATGTCTTCAATGAATGTTTAAGGGCAAATTATAGTTCTGCGTCGACTCAACACACACTGCTGCCGTTGCCTTGTCATTTTTAATTTATGGATCTGCGTCGAGGTTTATGCGCTGCCAAGTAATTCTCCACCACAACACTAGGAAGCTTTGGATTTTACAAATTGAAGCAGGAAAGCGGAGTACCGGAAATGTCTGTATTGCGTTGGTAGAGAGGACCAATCACAGCTCTTATTGTCTGCGCCGCTTCCCCCTGCAGTTTACATCGGTTTGACTCTTAGTTAGAAAATTTCTGAGGTGCACATTGGTCGATTCAGACACTCTGTGGAGAGGAGTCAAGGCGACACAGACGATTTGAAGCACGATCATAAATTGGGTTTTACAGTTTGCTTTAAAATCCTATCCAAAGCTCAGCCCATAAGACGACAATTCTCCAAAAATACACAAAAACGTGATACAAAACTGTACACAGCAACTTGACAAACTGGATACGATGTACTGTGATTTCATTTGTGGCATTCACACTGATAGTGCTTTGATAGTGCTCTGAAGGGGGAATGACTGAGCACAAAGAGCAAAGGGTGGAGAGACTCTGACCATTTAAAAATGAAGGCGAAACTTATAAAACTTGTTAATACATTGTTTTAAAAAAAAAACAACAAAAAGCAAAAAAAACAAAACAGCTTGGCTATTTTCATTCATATCAAAGTTTAATTTTAGAATTTTTATATATTCATCAACTCCAAATACTCAACTCAGATCTGCAAATGAACTCCACACTGGCACAGTCATTTATTCCTCCAGAAACCCTCAGAGTTTAGTAATAATTTGAGTGAGCAGTTAAAGCCCACGTCACCGTAATCACTCTCATATAGCGTCCTGATTGTTTCTTCATGTTTATTACCTTCTTACTCGGCTTAGACCTGCTTCGGTGGCATATTCCAGCACTTTCTTCTTCTCTTGCGGTTGGGAGCATTTCTCTTAAATGAACCATATAGCAGAACAGTTTGGGAGCGAGGCACTGTGGTTGGGCCAGGCATGGGCAGGTATGAGCATTAATGAGCACATGTAGCGTGGTAGAGCTGGCTCCTGCTCTCCGCTCCCTCACTCTCTCACTCCCTCGCTCCGGATCTGGTTACCCACAATGCCTCGGTGCGACGGGAGGGCTTCCTGTGCCTTGCGTTGTAGATTTACGGTTCTTGGACATGGCATTGGCACGTTCACTAGGGCTCTCTTGTGTGGCGTGAGGGGCTGCGCTTTACGAGGGGCCACTTTGAAAAGGCTGCAAAGTTTAAGTAGGAGATGATGGTGAGAAGTTTGTAACAGAGAAGAAGACCTCAGGGATGTTTGGGAAGAAAAAATGACCTAAAAAATGTCCTATTTAAATGATGTATGTACCAGTATATACCATAAGGGCCGTGTAATTCATCACATTTAAATCAAACCGAGATCCTGTCGTTTCTAGACATTAATTACCAACTACAAAATGGACTTTTCATTTCCCCTCTTTCCCCTCTCATTTAACCTCTCCAAGTTATATTTAGAGTGATTCATGTATGTATGAATCATCTTTATACTCCTGTTTTTAAGACATCATTGCTCTGATCCATCCCTGTTTTCATAACCACTGCTCTGTATTTACTTCATTTTGAAATGTTATTTTCTTAGTCAGTGATATGGGTAGGATTCAGCACTGTCCAGGAGTCAGAAAAAAAACAACTGTACATTTATTGACAGGAGGTGCTGACAGCTACACATTTTTGTTGTTTTGAAGTTTTCTAACGCTGAAGTCAGCAGACTTGTTTCTTTTCTTATGTTGTTTTGGATCAGTATTGCCATTTCAAATGTTCAAATTATATCTCAATGATCCACAAGTGTCACATTATAACCATAGCACAATAGTACTTCCATAGCAACCTAAACTTTAAACACTTGTCAAAAATCCAGGCTCATGTTCTGAAACCCAAACTGATGTCAGTTTCACTCATATACGGAGTCCCTTTTTAGTAACTGTAAGACTTTTCGACTTGGTTCCCAGATTAATTCACTTAAACAGTCTGGTTCAGGTCTTATATTTTCCAGAGCTTTGTCTGTGTTTCTGGTTTCTTGTTGGTGGCATTTCTCAACAGTTTCTCTCAGATCAGTCCTTCACATTAGTGGTTATTACACTCTCTGCGTTTATGGGCCACAGACCACAGAGAACAATGGAGAAAGTGCCCAGGCCTGGAGCTCAACATGGACCACATCAGACTCACTGAGACCATGCTTTTTTGGACACTGGATTGATTGTGCAAAATGTTTTTGGTTCACTGTTTTTTCTGGGTTAAATCAATCAACTAAAACTATACACCATTGGTGGGTTTCAGATTGGCTGAAAGTGCTTCACAAAATTACTGAATGTGTGAATAACTTAAAATTATGACTTCGAATTTCTTATATCATACCTAAAAATCATTTGGAAATGTTGATTAACCATTAATCATTTACTAAAAAATACCTGTGTTTACAAGTGTTTAATAATCATTTACAAACACAGAAAAGGCAAGAAGTGTTATAAATGTACAAGTACAAATAAAATGGAAAATAAGTAATAAAAATATCTCAGCTATATACAAGGGTGAGTTGTTGTACAGTTGTAGGGAGTATTATCTGTTCCATAAAGGTGAGTTGTTGTACAGTTGTAGGGAGTATTATCTGTTCCATAAAGGTGAGTTGTTGTACAGTTGTAGGGAGTATTATCTGTTCCATAAAGGTGAGTTGTTGTACAGTTGTAGGGAGTATTATCTGTTCCATAAAGGTGAGTTGTTGTACAGTTGTAGGGAGTATTATCTGTTCCATAAAGGTGAGTTGTTGTACAGTTGTAGGGAGTATTATCTGTTACATAAAGGTGAATTGTACAGTTGTAGGGAGTATTATCTGTTACATAAAGGTGAATTGTACAGTTGTAGGGAGTATTATCTGTTAGTATAATATGGATGTAGATCTGTAATTTTTAGTAAATTAATTCATGGTTAATAAACATTTTCAAATAAGTTCCAGGTATGACTTATTATAAAATGTGAACAAAAATAAAACTGATTTAGCATAATATTCCGTCTTTAATATCAACATTTTTTTATTTCTTGTCCTTAACCTCAAAAACGTTCACCTGATGTTACCTTGAAAAACTTCACACTTGATTATGTTCCTCTCCAAAACAATTATCCATTTGCAATTCCATTTCAAAGTCCTGGCGCGTTATCTTGTGTTGTGTGCGTGACCTCTGACCTTTGACACTCGAGGTTGTGGGTTGAATGCCGGACCCCTCCTCATCGGTTAATTACTGCGGCATGTGGGGTCAAGGCCTGTGAAAACATACCTGCCAGATTTGCTCCAGGGATTTCGAGCAGCCTTTTTTTTTTGTTTTTCAGCAACTAAGAGCAGCAAAGCATGATGGGAAAAGATCCAGAGGTGTTTGTTTAAAGTTGAACATTCTTGTGCGTCTTAGCGGGCGGGTTCGGCTCGTGTATACGGGATCTGTCTAATCCAAACGGGAGGGACTAAGTCAGTGTTGAGTAGAAACACTTCAAAATGGATTCAGTCATGGTTCTGGTTTAATGGCACCATTTTGAGAACTTTTCTGTTCAACTGTTTGGTTAATGTGATATTTTGTTTTGAATTGTTACTTGTCATGGTCACAGTGAAATCAATGGATAAAAAATAATGAATTTCCCTCACTACTACTACTACTACTACTACTACTAATACTAATACTGCTGCTACTATGACAGCTACTGCTACTACTGCTGCTACTGCTGCTACTGCTACTACTGCTACTACTATTACTACTACTACTACTACTGCTACGACTACTACTACTGCTACTACTACTGCTACTACAACAGCTACTACTATGACAGCTACTGCTACTACTGCTGCTACTACTGCTACTACTATTACTACTACTACTACTACTGCTACGACTACTACTACTGCTACTACTACTGCTACTACAACAGCTACTACTACTACTGCTACTACTA